GTGAGGTGCTTTGTTTACCGTTCTTTTTAGATGCTCTTGAGGGATTGGGGTGGGAACACAGAACGGGCAGGAGGGAGCAGAGGAGGGGGCGCCTGAATTGAAAAATGATATCCAGGCAGTCCTCAACCTACAACCACAATCGGGTCAGGAATTCCCATGGCTAAGCGAGCCACGCTCAGTTTTTATGATCCATTTTGCCACAGTCGCTAAGCAAATCAGGGCAGTTTGAGCGACTCACAAGATTGTTAAGCAAATCGGGCTTCTCCCCATGAACTTGGGTTTTCAACAGTGAAGCAGGAAGGTAGCAAATGATGATCAAATAACCCCTGGACAAACTAACTGTCATAAATATATGCCAGTTGCCAAGGGCCTGAATTTTTATTATCATGTTTCGCCGAAAAGAAGACCCCGCCGGAAAATAAGGCCTAGTATAAAACCTTATCACCATATTTGAGAGGCTGCCACAAGAAGGGAGGGGGGGGAGTCAACTTATTTTCCAAAGCCCCAGAAGGCAGGACAAGAAACAATGGATGGAAACTAATCAAGGAGAGAAGCAACCTGGAATTAAGGAGAAACTTCAGAACAGCGAGGACAATTAACTAGTGGAATAGCTTGTCTTCAAACGTTGTGGGTGCTTCATCTCTCGAGGTTTTTAAGAAGAGACTGGACAGCCACTTGTCTGAAATGATATAGGACAGGAATGTCAAACTCAATTTCATTGAGGGCCGCATCAGCATTGTGGTTGCCCTCGGGGGACCGGGTGAGTGTGGCCAGGGTGGGGTGCAGCCTACTGGGTGAGCGTGGATGGAGTGGATGTGGCCTATTGGGTGGGCATGGCCAGCTCTACATCGTTCGCATCAAGGGTGCCTATGGGGGCCTGGGCAGGAGTGGGACAGATCTGAGGGTCTCTGGCAGAAGGTGGTGGGACCGGGGCAAGTGCCAAGGCATGGTCCACTGGAGGAGCCCCACTGCCTGCTGAAACCCCTCCGCCGGAACCCATAAAGCCGGATATGTGAAGTAGGCGAGGGCCATTTGCTGGCCACTTCCAGGCGATGGTGCATTTCTTCATTCCTCACAAAGGGTGACCCCTCCCCAGCATGCACCCAGGGGACGGGGCCGACGCGGCAGGGGCTGGTTCCTCGCTGTTTCCAGATGGCCTTGTGGAGCTAAGACTGAATGCGTTTCAGCATAGATGGCCACCACAAAATTGTACATTGGCTCCCGGCCGACCTGGGCCAGGGCCAAGGCAGCAGGGGCCGTTCCCTCACTGTTTCCAGGATGGCTTCGCGGGCCACATGAAACCACTTCGCGGGCCGCATCCGGCCCCCAGGCTTTGTGTTTGACATGTCTGGTGTAGACATGTCTGATATAGGGACTCCTGCTTGAGAAGGGGGCTGGACTAGAAGACCTCCAAAGTCCCTTCCAGCTCTATTCTGATTGATTGACCATTTTAAAAGAGACAAAAGTAAATCCAATCAAAACATAAAGTAACTAAGGTTTAAAATACAACGTCCATGTCATGTGTCCCTCATAATCCTTCAGAAGCGTTCATCTATTCCCCAAAATGCTAACTCCTGTCTGGCATAAAATTGCTGCTTGATGGGTTGTAGCTACAAGCAGAAGTCAAACGAAGAGTGCCGGCGCTGAACAGCGAGGGCTCACGTGCTTGAAGTAAAAACTACTTTAAATTAAATCAGTCTGCGGTTCGCTGCCTCCGATGAGGGATTTGAGCCTGACATCTTGTGCGTGCAAAATATGTCGACCAAATCTGGCATTGCAGATGTTCAGGCATGCTTGACTGACTTGAGCGTTCACCTTGACCCGAATTCATACTTGTTCCTTAAAATATACCTCCGCACCGCCTTCCGATGAAATACCCAAAAGGTAAAAGGAGATTCAACGCGACCGGATTTGATCGTGGTATTTTATGGTCTTGGATCACAGTGATTGATGCTCACTGTTGGTCATTGTCATTTTATTTGTTGTTTATCGTGAAGAATTATTGAAATCCCAAGTGGATCACAAATCTTTTATATAAACAAATGTAGGACCAGGAAAAGGCTGTATCTTTTATCGATTGACTAGGTCAGGGGTAGGCAACCTTGGCTCTGTTATGACTCGTGGACTTCAACTCCCAGAATTCCTGAGCCAGCATGGCTCAGCTTGGAAACCTCTCCCTTTCCCCTCAGCGTGGCTGGCTGAGGAATTCTGGGAGTTGAAGTCCACGAGTCTTAAAGTTGCCAAGGTTGAGGACCCCTGATACAGGGCAGGGGTGGGGAACCTTGGCTCTTTTATGACTGATGGACTTCAGCTCCCAGAATTCCTGAGCCAGCATTGCTCAGCTTGGAAACTCTCCCTTTCCCCTCAGCGTGGTTGGCTGAGGAATTCTGGGAGTTGAAGTCCACGAGTCATAAAAGAGCCAAGGTTGCCTACCCCTGGACTAGGTAATTTAGGAAAAGAGTGAAATTTGTTGAACGATTATCTCTAAAGCCCACCAGAATTTTTTTTTATCGTAGAGTTGCTCTTCAATAAAACCAATTTGATTGTTTAACAGCAATGAGTGCTATGAACTGGTCAAANAGGAGATCACATGACCCCGGGACTCTGCGACTGTCATAAATATGAATCAGTTGCTAAGCATCTGAATTTTGATCACGTGAACATGGTCGTAAGTAAGAAAAATGGTCATAAGTCAGTTTTTTCAGCGCCGTTATAACTTCAAACGGTCAGTAAACGGAAGAGTTGCAAGGACTACCCTCGTATTAAATAGCTGGGTTTGATTTGGAGATAAACCTGCAAATGGTAATTCTTTCTTCTGGTTCCCCCTCCCCAAATGTCTTAATAAATTAAAATGTTCTTTATCTGGAAAGATAAAAAGATCAGGAGCACGAGGATTTTTCATAGGAAACTCTCCTAATAATTTAATTATATGGAGCCTGTCTTTGATTTTAAGTTTTAAATGGCTGAAGGTGATATCGTGACAGCTTTGTACGCTGAAAGAACTCTTAAAATCTGATTTTCATCCAATTTTCTAGAGATTGCAGTCCCTCATCCTGTGTCTGGTAATTCTGAGTTTACTGAACATCTGAGGATTGGGTTTTCAAGTGCCTTGGGGCACAGTATTAATGAGTAAGGAAGGTGAAGATTTGGTGTTAAAACCTGCACAAGTTGAAATGCTTCCTACTCGTGCGAAGCCACCCTCGGCTACAACAATTTTTTTTCTGTGTCCCTGATTTTGCTTAACATTTTCCCTAATTTTTGGCAGCTTGTCAACATAGCAAAGAATGTTTACCTTAAGTATTTGAGGAAAACCAGACAGTTGCCCTATTAGAAAACTACTTGATGCGTGGATATTTGGTTTATCTACATAAAAATATCTACATATTTTTATATTCTCCAAAGCGCCTGAAGGCAGGACAAGAAGCAACGGATGGAAATTCATCAAGGAGAGAAGCAACCTAGAACTAAGGAGAAACTTCCTGAGAGTTAGAACAATTAACCAGTGGAACAACCTGCCTCCAGAAGCTGTGAATGCTCCAACACTGGAAGTTTTTAAGAAGAGACTGGACAGTCATTTGTCTGAAATGGTATAGGGTTTCCTGCCTGAGCAGGGGGTTGGATTAGATGACCTCCAAGGTCCCTTCCAACTTTACTACTACTCGTGTTATGCCTAAGGATATCTAACCATGTAGTAGGATTGTGTTACTATTATCCTTCTTATATTTCCTATTACCAATTCCCATTGGTGGTAATAATAATAATAATAATAATAATAATAATAATAATAACAACAACAACAACAACAACAACAACAACAATAAAGTTGGAAGGGACCTGCTCCTTCCTGCTCAGGCAGGAAACCCTATACCATTTCAGATAAATGGCTGTCCAGTCTTTTCTTAAAAACTTCCAGTGTTGGAGCATTCACCGCTTCTGGAGGCAGGTAGTTCCACTGACTGACTGTTCTGACTATTAGGAAGTTTCTCCTTAATTCCAGGTTGGTTCTCTCCTTGATTAATTTCCATCCATTGCTTCTTGTCTTGTCTTCTGGTGCTTTGGAGAATAGCTTGACTCCCTCTTCTTTGGGGCAGCCCCTGAGATGTTGGAACACTGCTATCATGTCATATCATAGTCATATCTTATGACTATCACTTTGCTGGTTGTGTCTTATGATTTTTGATTGTATCATATGTTTTATGACCCGGGACAGTGGAACCATCATAAATATGAGTCAATTGCCAAGTGTCCGAATGTTGATCACGTGACCAGGGGGATGCTGCAACTGTCATAAGTGTGAAAAAGGATCCTAAGTCACTTTTTTCCAGTGCTGTTTAACTTCGAACAGTCGCTAAATGAACTGTTGTAAGTCGAGAACGGCCTGTACTATAAGAAGAAAGGGGAACATAGCTAAAAATAGTTATTCCTATACAATTTACTATGCCTTTTCCCTAACTTTTGCCTTACAGAAGTATGAAATGTTATAAATAAATAAATTCTTGCTTCTATGATGACTAAACATGTCTTCGTGTATTGCCTAATCTCATTGCCATGATTCTGTGCTATTATATTTATTGAGCTCTGAATTCGACTTACTATTTAGCAGTCACTTGTCAGAAATGGTATATAGAGTCTCCTGCGTGAGCAAGAGGTTGGACTAGATGACCTACAAGGTCCCTTCCAATTGTGTTATTCTATTTCAGTCAGTTTATTTGTTCATGGTGATAGCTCAGTGAAATAAATTTAACCTGTAGTGTATTTCTATTGAAAAGACTGACCTATCTTTTTTCCAAAGTGGAAAGATTTAAAAAATAATGAATGCATTAAATTTGGTGCTGGATATTTTAGTATCAATAATTTTTTTTCTTATCCCTTCTAGGATAACTCAAGACAACACATGCCTGTGTACTTGAAAATGTGACATTATAGCATATCTAGAAAGCTGAATTTGTTTCACTATTTTCAGAATTGGGGTAATTACCACTATTCTATTCTTTTTATAGATTACCTTTCACAAGGGATAGATCTTTCTGGAATCGAAGTAATTGAAAATGAATTGCTTTTTATTGCGAGAGCTCGACTCGAAGTAGAGAACCAGGCCAAACGGTTGCTTGAACAAGGAATAGAGACTCAGGTAAAATGTCTTTTTATTTCCTTCCTGATTGTTATATATTTTATTAGTTTTTGTAGGGTTAGGGTTAGGCCAGAGGTAGGCAACCTCGGCTCTTTTATGACTCGTGGACTTCAACTCCCAGAATTCCTGAGCCAGCCACGCTGAGGGGAAAGGGAGAGGTGTCCAAGCTGAGCCATGCTGGCTCAGGAATTCTGGGAGTTGAAGTCCACGAGTCATGAAGGGGCTAAAGTTTCCCTCATGCTGGCTCAGGAATTCTGGGAGTTGAAGTCCATGAGTCATGAGGGGGCCATAGTTCCCCATGCTGGCTGAGGAATTCTGGGAGTTGAAGTCCACAAGTCATGAAGGGGCCATAGTTCTCTCAAGCTGGCTCAGGAATTCTGGGAGTTGAAGTCCACGAGTCATAAAAGAGCCAAGGTTGCCTACCCCTGGGTTAGGGTTAGGGTTAGGATTAGGATTAGGGTTGGGTTTTTTAAAAATAACATTCTTAATATATAGCAAACAGCATGTTGTCGGGGTTCATGTATTTAAAAAACAATAAATAAGAGTTAATTTCTATATTATCATAATCAATATATTAGTTAATCGCTCAATAGTCTTTTTCTTACTAGTACATATTCAGTGTTACATAGTACATATCGTGTTCCTTTCTCTCTAACTCGCTTTTCTAGCCATTGGTAAAAATTATCCCGTGTTCTAAAGTACACTGAGTCTTCTTTCACTTTTATCTTTAATGTCAATCTGTCCATTTCTGCACAGTCTAATATTTTCTTAATTAGTTCTTCTTCCGTTGGTAAGTTTTCATTTTTCCAATATTGGGCAAATACAATTCTTGCTGCAGTTAATACATGTAAAATTAAGTATATACAATCTTTCTCATAGTTTCCTCCTATTATGCCTAACAGAAACAGTTCTGGCTTGAAATCTATATGTTTTTTAGTCATTTTTTCCAACCATATGTGTATGTTTGACCAAAATCTTTTGAGCTTCAGGGCATGTCCACCAGATATGATATAATAAGTACCTGGTTTTTGTTTACATTTCCAACACTTATTTGATGTATTTTTGAACATTTTCGCGCCCACAGGATCAGTCTAATTTTGTGACCCTTTTTACGGCAGTCGTAAAGTGTATGCCGGGGTCATAATGTGAGTGTGTTCCTTCCTATGGGTGTTTTTTGCTGGAAACTTGCTGAAAAGGCGATAAATCCTCCCAAAACATGACAAATTGGGATCACGTGACTACAGAACGCTGCAACTCTTTGTGAAATGTAAAAACAAAACAAAACTCCCCTTTTAAATTAGGGTATTTGCGCGCTTTGATCCGTTCCAAATCAAATGCAGATGGATGTTTTTACTTCATTTCCTTTATTTCTTTAATTCAAGGGTGATTCCAATAATTTGTGACTATGAAACAAATTTGTATGCGGTGCGACTGTAAAAGCTGCACTTTGAGAAGTAAACAGAAAGTGTGAGATTAATTATAGTCCGTGAAATGTACCGTTTCATTTTAAACCAGGCATGTAACGTTTTTTTTTTAAACTTACATTAGATCTGACAAAGCAGAATGTTATGCTTTCCCTCTGTTATTATTTGAGCCCATGATAAACAATTCCCTTTTTCAACAGACTAATTTGTATTTTTCTTTTCGTCTGATGTTAAACAGTCAGTTTAATCATACGTAGTATATAAACCATTATGAATGCAGTCCTATTTTTTCTAGATAAATAGCTTATTCTGTGACCTGAATAACAGAATAACTGAGTTGGAAGGGACCCAGGAGATCCTCTAGCCCATCCCACTGCTCAGGCAGGAAACCCTACCATTTCAGACAAATGGCTGTCCAGTCTCTTCTTAAAAACACCCACAACTTCTGGAGGCAGGTTGTTCCACTGGTTAATTGATGAAGCACCCACAACTTCTGGAGGCAGGTTGTTCCACTGCTTAATTGTTCTAATAGTCTAACTTTCCTTAATTCTAGGTTGGTTCTCCCCTTGATTAGTTTCCATCCATTGTTTCTTGTCCTGCCTTCGGGTGCTTTGGAGAATAGCTCGACTCCCTCTTCTTTGTGGCAGCCCCTCAAATATTAGAAGACTTCTATCATGTCACCCCTAGTCCTTCTCTTCATTAAACTAGACATACGCAATTCCTGCAACCGTTCTTTATGATTTATCTTTCAGTCCTCTAATCATCCTTGTTGCTCTTCTCTGCACTCTTTGTAGAATCTCAACGTCTTTTTTTCATCTCGTGGCGACCAAAACTGGATACAGTATTCCAAGTATGGCCTTACCAAGGCGTTATAAAGTGGAATTAACACTGCACGCTTGATTCTATCCCTTTATTAATGCAGCCTTTGCTATTTTATCTAATAGTGATTATTTCCACGTAACATTTATGGTATGGAAACATAACTCCAAACTATTGTACATACATATAAAGGTAATATTATGTAATTAATGTAGGAAGTCAGGAGATTATTAGAAACAACGAGAAGAAACGTGAGAAAGATCTCAGAGTTGTAGATTATTATTATCATCATCATCATCATCATCATCATCATCATCATCATCATCATCATAAGTTGGAAGGGACCTTGGAGGTCATCTAGTCCAACCCCCTGCTCAGGCAGGAAACCCTATACCATTTCGGACAAATGGCTGTCCAGTCTCTTCTTAAAAACCTCCAGTGTTGGAGCATTCACCGCTTCTGGAGGCAGGTTGTTCCACTGGTTCATTGTTCTCACTGTCAGGAAGTTTCTCCTTAGTTCCAGGTTGCTTTTCTCCTTGATTAGTTTCCATCCGTTGCTTCTTGCCTTGCCTTCAGGCGCTTTGGAGAATAGCTTGACTCCCTCTTCTTTGGGGCAGCCCCTGAGATATTGGAAGACTGCTATCATGTCCCCCCTCGTCCTTCTCTTTGTTAAACTAGACATACCCAATTCCAGCAACCTTTCCTTATGTGTTTTAGCCTCCAGTCCCCTAATCATCTTTGTTGCTCTTCTCTGCACTCTTTCTAAAGTCTCAACATCTTTTTTTTTCTATGAATGTATCCCTCTACAATTAGCCAACTTTTTGACTACCGAATGTGTAAATATCCATGTCCTTTTCCTGTACTATGTATGACCTTGTTTTTCACTTTCTATTAGCTGTTGAGGGCAACCGATGAGCCAAGTTCCCCCCCAAAATTAACTGTGGATCATTAAAACAATTGGCTGTCCTATTAGCCTCCACCTCCAAATAATCAAAGAATTATTAGCGTTCTTGCCTGCCACGCGTGACGAGTGGTGTGCCTTCAGTCAGCCAAAGGTTTCTTTTGGAAGAACCTTATTAATGCTTAATTGTATTTGGAATGAAAAGAAGACGAGAGTGTCAGGATGAAATGTCACTGGGTTGGCTTCTCAGATGTGTTTGATGAATTTTGCAGGACATAATGTAGGAGATAAATCTGCTCCTTGCTCCCGTCCCGAGAAACATGCGAACTGTTTGGGACTCGGGGAGGGAGGCAGAGTGCGGTGGAAATGAAATGTCAAAGAATGGTTATTTCCCACTTGATATGCAATATTTAAATGTTTATTAATTGTCTGAGCATTCAGAATTATGAAATGCTTAAATATTTATTAATTTACTGAGCATATAGAAATGACAGGATCGGAGAAGGGACCTTAGAGATCTTCCAGTCCAGCCCAAGCAGGAGACCCTACACCTTTCTGGACAAATGGCTGTCCAGTCTCTTCTTAAAAACTTCCAGTATTGGAACATTCACAACTTCTGGAGGCAGGTTGTTCCACTGGTTAATTGTTCTCACTGTCAGGAAGTTTCTCCTTAGTTCCAGGTTGCTTCTCTCCTTGATTAGTTTCCATCCGTTGCTTCTTGTCCTGCCTTCAGGCACCTTGGAGAATAGCTTGACTCCCTCTTCTTTGGGGCAGCCCCTCAAATATGGAATGCTGCTATTATATCACCCCTGGTCCTTCTCTTCATTAAACTAGACATACCCAATTTTTGCAATCGTTCTTTATATGTTTTATACTCCACCCTCCTAATCATCTTTGTTGCTCTTCTCTGCACTCTTTCTAAAGTCTCAACATCTCGGTTGGATCTCTCATTCAACTTGTTACTTCTTGTCCTGCCCTCAGGTGCCTTGGAGAAAAGGTTGACCCCTTCTTCTCTGTGACAGCCCCTCAAATATTGGAAGGCTACTGTCAGGTCACCCCTAGTCCTTCTCTTTCCTGGACTAGACATACCTGTTTCCCCCCAACCATTCATCATATGCTTTAGCCTCCAGTCTCCTAATCATCTCTGTTACTCTTCTCTGCGTGCTTCTCTTGCTGCTGACAGCTCTGGCATACATACCTCTCATCTATTAATCAGGTCAAAAGAAAACAACAAAATTACAAATGCAAAAATCAAAGTTATTTTTAGCGTGTATAAACGTTCGAAGTATTCTGCATTCGCCTTCATTCACTAGAAATATCCATTCCATGAAGCAAACATGCTAAAGGAAGCTGCTTTAAAAGGGTCTCAACCCACAATGCCTGCTTCCCCGTTTGAATAGCAACGGTTGAGAAGCTTCGTTTTTTTAAAAAAAAATCTTTTATTGATTTTTAAAAATTGCAGTCTTTAGTGCTTAGTAAACAACATGTTGTCTGAGTTCACGTAATAATAATAATAAAGTTGGAAGGGACCTTGGAAGTCATCTAGTCCAAACCCCTGCTCAGGCAGGAAACCCTATATCATTTCAGACAAATGGCTGTCCAGTCTCTTCTTAAAAACTTCCAGTGTTGGAACATTCCCTGCTTCTGGAGGCAGGTTGTTCCACTGGTTAATTGTTCTCACTGTCAGGAAGTTTCTCCTTAGTTCTAGGCTGCTTCTCTCCTTGATTAGCTTCCATCCATTGCTTCTTGTCCTGCCTTCAGGTGCTTTGGAGAATAGCTTGACTCCCTCTTCTTTGGAGCAGGTCCTGAGATACTGGAAGACTGCTATCATATCCCCCCTGGTCCTTCTCTTCATT